AAATGTATAGGCAAATAGTCGTACATAAACGATCAAGATTTTCAGCGAATTATTTTCCGAAAATCTCCCAATAGTCCACTACGCGACTATAAACTAAAAACAGTTATCTTTGGCGTCAACTGTGCTCTATATTTAGCCATTCGAACACTTCACGAACTGGCAAAAAACACAAAGTCAGAATTTCCTCTGAAAAAATTAAAATATTATTTTAACTCGCTAATAGGTCATGTTGCCAATTCTCCTTTCTGAAGGGAACATCAGACAAATTCTTCAATTTCTGATTTTTAGCAAATGTTGTGAGGCAGCAGCTTGTGGGCAACATACAAATGCGAGAGGTTGAAATTCAATTCGATGACCATGCCTCCTCGGACCCGAAGAAGTGCGGGAGCTATTTAAGCCGGCAGTTTACACTGCACTCTTCGACTGACAAGGCCAAACGATGTGTTACCCGACAGCTACGCGAAATGCCAAAAGACAGCGCACCACTTACTTTCACCGATGAGGAGGTTCAGAGTGTCATCAAAAAGGCCAAATCGTCCAAATCCATTGGCCCTGACGGAATAAGCATGCTGATGCTAAAACATCTAGGCTCGGCGGGAGTAAACTACCTCACCAAGGTCCTCAACTTGTCGATGGCCACTCTTCAAATACCCGATGTGTGGAAAGTCGGAAGAGTGGTCCCACTAATGAAGCTTGGGAAACCCGCCAACAAAGTAGTGAAGACACTTAAGGCCTTGTTACTCCCGACGTTCACTAACCACCTTAGCCTGGCAGAACATCAGCATGGCTTCCGGAAAGTGCACAGCACCACCACATCACTTAGCGTCTTAAACGCCCGGATAGTTGATGGCCTAAACCAGAAGCCACCCTGCGAGAGGACGATCCTCGTAGCGTTGGACTTGTCGAAAGCCTTCGACACAGTCAACCACACAACGCTACTTGAGTATATCGAATAATCTACGCTCCCTCCAAGCGGTGGACCATGAACTACCTCCAAACTCCTCCTAACTCCAAACTGAGAAGAATTACACGGGGGGTTCCGCAGGCTGGTGTCCTCTCCCCTTTACTGTTTAACTTCTACATCTCGAAACTCCCTCAACCACCAGAGGGAATTTCCGTGACCTCGTACGCTGATGACTGCACGATATTGACGTCGGGCAATGGAATCGATGACATGTGCTCTCTGATCTTTCTCGCTTCTTCTCTGCAAGGAGTCTGACACTCTCCCCCACTAAATCCACAGCGACCATATTTACGAACTGGACGAAGGAGTACAGACTGGATCTAAACATTTCAGTCGATGGCACCAAAATTCCGACAGTAAACAACCCTAAGATTTTAGGCGTTACACTAGACAGTCTTTGCTCCTTTACTCCTCACACTACCGCGATAACTGCCAAAGTACAGAGTCGCAACAAAGTCCTCAAATCGCTTGCCGGCAGCTCTTGGGGAAAAGACAAAGAAACGTTGTTGGCAACATACAAGGCAATCGGCCGGCCGGTCCTAAATTATGCAGCCCCAATATGGTCGCCTGGATGTAGTGCCACGCAGACGAAGAAGCTCCAGACCTGTCAAAACACTGCACTCCAGACTATCACGGGATGCCTCTTGATGTCCCCTATCGAACACCTACACAGTGAGGACCGTATGCTTCCGGTTAAGGAACATAACGAGCTCCTCTCCAAGCAGTTGCTGTTGGGATGTTTTCGTTTAGGAACATCAAGAGGTCTTTCCTTGATTACGTCGACGACATTAGACAGTACGCCGACCGGACTTCGGACGCAACGAACTTCAGACAGGCACTGACCTTCACCGACTCCCTCTTAGTGAATGCCGTATTACGAGTCAAACCACCACCCATAGCAGACGTAGAGCTCGAGTTGCTTCGCGAAACCAGAGTGACCCTCGCGCAACTTCGTTCTGGATATTGTAGCAGGTTAAACTCCTACTTATCCAGAATAGACCCCCATGACACTAACCCCCTCTTTGCATTCTCAACAAACCCCACTCATCTAACACCCTTTTCCCTATGGTCCGACCCCGTCGAAACAGCTCGTTTCCTGGGCCTACCGTTAGATGACCTCGACGACAATCAATCTGGAATTTATCACCCAAACGGCACTAGATAACCGTTACAACAACAACAACATGGACCGTTCCGACAAATGAGCAGCATTTTATTGAGGAAAGGACAGGTGCAAAATTAAAGAACGTTAGCTTAAACACTGAGGGACTATTTCGTATATATACAGACAGACGGACATGGCTAAATCATCTTAGCTCATCATGCTGATCATTTATATATATACTTTATAGGGTATCCGACGTTTTCTTCTGGGTGTAACAAACTTTATGGCAAACACAATATACCCTGTTCAGGGTATAATGATTTCAGACAGACACTTCCCATTATTCCGCTTTAAACGTACTCTGCTTAAAATCAAAGATAAAACAGTTGTTGCCAGGGAATTTGGTCTCATAAAAATCTATCGATGCTATTTGCGATGCCAACGAAGCTGTGAATTATCCAACTGAGTTTTTGGATTCATTGGATATGCTGGGCATGCCAACGCACCATATACAACTAAATGTTGTATCTCGGGTTATTTTCCTATTTGGAACCCACCATGGCCTTGAAATAACACAAGATTAGTCATTAAATAATTAATGAAAAACATTAACAAAGCCACCATTTTGATTGGCAACTTCCGTGGCGAAAATGTATTGCTATCACGAATACCTATGATTCTTACAGATGTGCGAACTGAATTTAAACGCACTGAATTTCCAATTAGATTGACATTGAAATGTTAAATATTTGCGATGTAGAGGTAGGTCAATAATTGTAATTTTATATTTCTCTCAATTATAATTACATATCTTTATATATATATTTCTTGTGTGCGTGTGTATGTCACTGAACTCCTCCTAGACGGTTGGACCGATTTTGATGAAATTTTTTTTGTGAGTTCAAGGGGATTCGAGGATGGTTTAGATTCAGAATTTGGTCCACTGGAAAATGTTTATTTAACAAATTTTTCATTTATAAGTAGTTGTTAATTTTGGAATGTTTTACATTGGATCCCGTAGACTGCGCTACCATCGCAGATGTTAGAACGTGTTACATATAATTCCGGCAGACAGACTTTTCTCGGGGCTAATTATACGTACGAGAGTAGGAAAACCATCGAATTTATTTGTTTATACCTCTCAAGGATTAACCAAAAATATTGTACATCCTATGGGTTACGATAACTTCAGTTTTTGTAGATAATTACTTCTAAGAATAAATACCCGTTATAGAATATATTCAACCTTTTCACAATCAATTAAAACGACTTCAAGTTTTCATTGAATACAGCTTCTACAATTAACATCTCTGAAAGCATTCTAATATACATATTGACACGCTATCGATTGGTAGAGTTGTGATAAATATATAATATATGAATGAAGTTAGATATTGTGATAAGTTTCTAATAAAAATTTTCATCAAAACGGTCTAATTATTACGTGATACAGGACAACGTCTGTCGGGCTTCTAGTACATAGGGGCCGTCCATAAATTACATCATCGATTTTTTCAGGTTTTAGTACCCCCCCTATAATCATCCTATCTTTATTTCTTAATGACCCCCCCTTCTCTTAAAATTGACGTCATTACTAGTTTGACAAAATAAAACATTGCAGATTTGAGAAAAATAGGGCATTATATGATTAAAACACTTGGTTATAGAATCACCTTTTATTATTTTTACAATGGCAATTGGCAATAATCATTGATATAATATAACTCCTTTTTTTTACGTTTCTTTGGATAACTCCCACGGAGTTTTACCCCTTCTTTTAAATTCTGGATCACGGGTAATATCTCCGTATCCTCCCGATGGTGCTGGAAGAAATTTCTTTTTAGAAATAATCTTTTTGTACGTGAAAAATAAACTATAAATAAATTAATAAGAATGACGTCAATTTCGGAATGACGGACCATATCACATAAAATAGATAACACACGCGCGCATACAAGTAGATTGAGTTTTTCAATTAAAAACAAACGCATGTCATGTGACGATACATACAAACATATACATGTATACAAATGCATTTAATTAGATAAGTAAGATTTGTAAATAGTATATAAGGACAAAAAAATTTAAAATAAAATTAGAACGAAAATATTCTCAGCTCAATGAAAATCTTTATTTTTCTCCCACCAGCGGTAAGAGTCTAAAGATTCTTCGTTGAGTTTATACAACCGGTGAATATAAATGAAAGTGGTCTTCAATCTAAACCTTATATCCTAATAATAATGAATTCCGATCTCCTGGTTGACGTTTTATAATAGTTTTGTTCATGTAACAGTTGAATTCCGAGTGATTCTTTGTCCGTCTAACTTTACAGTATACAAATCCATCATCAATTAAGTTATCAAAATATTCAAATAATAAAATTCAGAAAGAATTTCTTTCAAACAACCAAACGGCGATACTTTTCCTAGTTTAATATAATGTTTTGCCAACAGCTAAATGTATTTCGCCGGTTTTGATCCTTGAAAGTTGCATGATTATAAAATTTTCGCTTGCACCCGAGATTAGCCCTTCCTTACTTGTTTAATATATAGTTTCGCGAAAACCTGAAGGTATTTCCCTAGCTTTGATCCTTGCAAGTTGCAAGAGTATGAAATGTTCGGTTTCACCCGAACTTAGTCTTCCTTACTTGTCTCATTTTTTAAATGACCATAACCGTCTACTTCATTTTTATGGAAATTAAGGAAGCTAAGTATGGTTATTTGTAGTTTCACCTTTCATATCATACTATATGAAATGAAATGTTTCTACATAAATTTACTAAAGTAAGTCTACTATACCATCATACTGTTCAGATATTTTAAATCCTCCGTACTGCGACAAAGTGTAGATAATTTTTGTAGCAATGATTCGAATGCGTAAATATTTTTGAGTCAATACATATATGATTTGCAAACAAGAAACAACAACCAGTTTTATTAATATAATTATGTATGCAAAATTTTAATAAATTTTAAGTTAAGTTGCCAAAAATGTCCAATTTTTCTTTAAGTACTTCTTCATTGTGCTCAATGTTCATAAAATATGCCGCTAAAAAGGATTTAATGTCTGCTGACTGATGTATATAAAACTGAGCAATAGCTTTACTCAATGTTGTACCCATTAGGCATTTTATTTCTTCAACGGGACCATCAACTATGTGGAAGGTTTTGCCTACATTATAAAAGATACATATGTACATGTAGAAAATATATACTAAAATAATAGAAAATTTCGCATGCATACCTTGTGGTAGCCAATCAAAATCTTTGAAACAGCAACAATTGCTTGCATCTTGTAAATTACATATTTGGAAAAATGATTCCAGCTCAGTTTCACATTTCTTTATCAAGGAAACTTCTTTGACAAAGAATTTATGCATTTCGCAAATATCTTTTTCACAATTATTTATTACAGTTGGATCATCAGATTTTATGGCATATCGTTTTAAGTAATCGACAGTATTTTCATGAAACTGCCTAAATTTGCATTTTTCAGCATTCAAACCTGCAATGCATTGACGTGCGTTGCTAATAATTTCTTCACTTTTCTTATTGAGAGCTTCGAATTTTTTTGAAAAACATTCGTTTAGATCGTGCATTGTGGTAATTTTCCGAGTAAAAAGTATAATTTTTTCAGACCCTTTACATTTATTTTTGCTTTCCATCGAAAACCCAAAATTTATTTTATCCACACACTCTTTGAATTCGTCCTGAAGATTACGTAACTCCATGTTTATGCGTCTCAAATCATTGTCGTGGCAGATAAGTGTACTCAAAATTTCATGAATACAATTTCTATGAGCATTAAGTAAATTTTCCCTACATGCTGTAAGCATTTTTGAATTATTGTATAAAAATATTAATATTAACGTATTGTATTAAAAGCAGAATGTATAGGTATGTATGTATGCAAGCTGTATTCAAAACAGAGAAATAAGTATTTGACTTACGATTATTTGACAACAAAATAGTAAAAAATTCATGTATTTGTTTATATTAACCCGTCTGTGCTTTTTTTTAGATTTTGAACCAGAGAACTTAGGAGAAGAAGAAGGTGCAAGCAGAGAATGTTAATGAATAGAAAAAGCGTAAATGTTAAAAAGTACTAAATAGAGATTTTCATAAGAGGGAACATCGAAAAATACAACATCGAATCGTTTTACACCACGCAATGATCGAAACGGAGAAAATGCTATAAATAGACACAAAGAATCTACTTAAATGAAGTATGATTGCTTATTTACATTTGCATATTACCGAAAATCATAATTTTTGTAATTTAATATAATCCTTCAAATTATATAAGAGGATTATTGGTTAAAGCCGCAGAATTTACAACAAAATAAGTAATTAATAGATAAATTCTTCAACACATTTTTGTGCTTTCCATGAAGAATATATAATAGGCAAAGGATAACAGTAAAACAGTGGCTAAGCGATCGGGTTCTCATTTTTGCGATGGCTCAGGTGGTAAGCGTGAATTAGTTAAGGTCAATCCGCACACGAGCATTTACGTTCGGATCCTGAAACTCATAAAACTTAAATTTTATTTTTCTTTTATTTTATAATTTGACATTTTAGCTAATCTCAATCTAATTACATGAATGACAAACAATGACTTTTGTCCACACTTTTTGCCTTTTGCGAGTTGAAAGATCGCAGCCAAGGAGGGTTCAGGGGCGCACTGCCACATAATTATTTCAGATATATTTTTATCATCGAATTTATTTTAAAAACATTTAAATGAGTATGAATTTATATGTATTTATATTTTTACGTATATATTAATTATATTACGAAAATAAGACATTAATGCATTAGTATTTTTCAATACAAATTAAGCAGCATATTAATATATTATGAGTCCTCACTTGACACGCCTCTGTGCATGGTGGCAAGCCAACAAAATAACGGCGATTTCGCCCGGACATTGTGTTGTTGAAAAAAACCAAATGACGACTTTGTCCACAAACATACATATGTATACATACATAGATATGGGCTCGCATACATATTAACACAAAATTTTGCGCATTGTCGCGGAGTTGACAAAATTTGTGTAAATCGACAATTTTGCGACAATGTCGGTCGGCTATGTTGTATCGTTTTCCTTTTTGCAGTGGTTTGCTATTGAAAGTTGACTTATGCTCTTTTGAAATACAACGACTACCGATTGGGCTACATTTTCATGCCGTTGAATTTAGATAAAATGGGCTAAATCGCAAAAATATGAAATATGGCTAATAAGTAAACATATATAAGTACTATATGCAGTGTGCTTAGAATATATAGAAGTAGTTAAAAATTTCATATGAATGGTAATTTTATATAAATTTTATAATATAATGTCATATATAATGCATAATATGAAATAAATTAAAATAATATTTCAAATCGCTAAGAGGTCATGTTGCCAATTCTCCTTTTTTAAGGAAACATCAGACAAATTCTTCAATTTCTGATTATTAGCAAATGTTCTGAGGAAGCAGCTTGTGGGCAACATACAAAAGCGAGGGGGATGGTAGGATTTTCAGTGACACAAATTGTAAAATTGAAATTTTGCTGATTCTTCAATTTTACTGAAGCATTCAAATTCAATTTTTACTTCTTCGTTTTCGTGCATTTGCGGTAGGAATTTTATATGAAAACCAAATTTGGTTGACCAGGCGCAAAGAAAAACAAGCGAGAAGGAGCAAATGTTAGCTGTACTAAAATGTTAATTACGATGAGGGAACATCGAAAACGCGCAAGTTCGAAAATAAAATTTCACCATCGTATCAATTTACGCAACGAACTACACCACTCTATAAGCAAAATGTATATACATACATATGCAAAGATGTTCTTTGGTATGCGCATGAACTGAATAATTGACTTCTGACAAGAAAATGTAAATAATGAGGGAAATAATAATGAAATTATAATTAAAATATCATTTAATAAAAAAGAGTTATAACAAGTAAGGAAGGCCTAAGTTCGGATGTAACCGAACATTTTATACTCTCGCAAAGTCAAATGGTATACTCGTTTGAGATTTCTTTGTGGATTGACTGATATTTTCGGTAGAAGGTCAACTATAGGCACTGGGGTCCACATAGTTAGTACTTAGGGGTTTGAACAGTTTTGGTTCGATTTAGACAATTTTTGGCCGCAAGGTGGCATACTTTAATTGCATTATTCACGCAAAGTTTTACCCCGATATAATCATTGTTACCTGATTTGCATAGTGGAAAGTGAAAGAATCAGATGGAATTGAAAATGGTGTTACATGGGAAGTAAGCGTGGTTGTAGTCCTATTTCGCCCATTTTCGCACTATGACATAGAAACATGAAAAGAACGTTACGCACCGAATTTGGTTGAAATCGGTTAAGCAGATCTCAAGATATGGGTTTTCACCTAAAAATGGGCTGTGCCACGCCCACTGTCTAATTTTGAGCGCGGTTCCTATAAAGTCAATTTATACCATCTCAGAGATAAAATTTAATGTCTCTGGCGTGTTTAGTGCTTGATTTATCGCGCTTTTAGTAGTTTTTAACAGTACCGTTATATGGGGAGTGGGCGGAGTTGCCACCCGATTTCAACTATTTTCACACCGTCAATAGAAGTGCTAAAAACATTTGCTTCGAGTGAATTTTGTTATTATAGCATTAGCGGTTTAGGAGATATGCACATTAAACCTATTAGAGGCGGGACCACGACCACTTTTTAAAAAAAAATTTTAACTGCAGATGCCCCTCCCTAATATGATCCTGTGTACCAAATAACAGTCTTGTAGCTTATTGCGGAGCTTAGTTATGGCAAGTTATTTGTTTTTGATTAATGGCGTTTTGTGGGCGTGGCAGTGGTCCGATTACGCCCATCTGCAATACCAACCGTCTCACGGTACCATGAAACATGTCTACCAAGTTTCATTAAGATATCTCAATTTTTACTCAAGTTAGAGCTTGCACGGACGGACGGACGGACAGACAGTCACCCGGATTTCAACTCGTCTCTTCATCCTGATCATTTATATATATATAACCCTATATCTAACTCGATTAATTTTAGGTGATACAAACAACCGTTAGGTGAACAAAACTATTATACTCTGTAGCAACAGGTTGCGAGAGTATAAAAATAAAAACAGAGTATAAAAAATGTCTGATAGGATTTGAACTTAGGCAAAATATTTCACGTTGCAATAATTAAGTATGCTATAGAAGCAGCGCCACAGACGATATTCGAGCAATTTAGTCTAATCTGTGAACGCAAACAGCTATTGGTGTTTACTTGCTTCAAATGTTCATATGTCTATATGTGAATATTCTTGAAATTGCCTTCCTTCATTCGCATGTCCAAATATATTTGCATATATGTACACATATGTACGTATGTATGTCCCTCAATATGCCTTTTGTAAAATATCAAATATCCGCGCAAGCGACAAAAAACGTAGACGCCATCATCGGCCACTAATATTCAAGCGAACTCGCAGCATATTTTCTAAGTTTTTCATATTACAACGACAACAAATTCATTCATAAGGAACGTACGTTTGCTTCAAAGCAAAGTGCGTTCGTTCATAACTCTGCGCCGCGCTATTTTTTCTGTGCGCCTGGTAAACCACATTTGGTTTTCATATAGAATTCCTACGAAACGCGAAATTAAGTTTATAAAATGAAGGAATGAATAAAATTGAATTTGAATGGTTTCAGTAAAACCAGAAAAATTCAATTTTACAATTTGTATCACTGAAAATCCTACCCATTCCCCTCGCATTTGTATTTTGCCCACAAGCTGCCTTCTCACAACGATGCTAAAAATCAGAAATTGAAGAATTTGTCTGATATTCCCTTCAGAGAGGAAAATTGGCAACATGACCTATTAGCGAATTAAAATTATATTTTAATTTTTTTCATATTATGCACTAGGCATTAAATTATAAAATTTATATAAAATTGACATTTATATAAAATCATTAACTACTTCTATATATTCTAAGCACACTGCATATAGTACTTTTATATGTTTACTTATTATCATTGTTTCATAGTTTCTTAATTTAGCCCATTTTATCTAAACACGACGCTATAAAATTGCAGCCCAATCGGTAATCGCAATATTTCAAAAGAGCATAAGTCAACTTTCAATAGCAAACCACTGCAAAAAAGACAAACGAGACAACATAGCCGACCGTCATTGTCGTCAAATTGTCCATTAAAACAAATTTTGTCAACTCCGCCAGATGCACACAATTCGGCGTCAATATGTATGCGAGCTCATATGTATATATGTATGTTTGTCGACAAAGTCGTCATTTGGTTTTTTTCAACAACACAATGTCCGCGCGAACTCGCCGTTATTTCGTTGGCTTGCCACCATACACTGAGGCGTGTCAAGTGAGGGCTCATAATATATTAATATGTTGCCTAATTTGTATTGAAAAATACTAATGCATTAATGACTTATTGACGTAATATATTTAATAGATTCGTAAAAATATATGTATATACAAATAAATGCATACCTATAATCGTTTTTAAAATAAATTCGATTAATAAAAACTATCTGAAATAATTATGTGGCAGTGCGCCCCTGACCCCTTCTTGCCTGGGATCGTTTAACTTGTTTCTCGCAAAAAGCAAGAATTTAGGACAAAAGTCATTGCTTGTGCGGTGCAAGAAGAAGCAAGCATCAGCGTACCTGTATTTAAGAATGTATGTGTGATTATTACATTTGTGTTAATATGCATAATAAGGAAATATTCAATAAACCTAAACTTATGAACATATATTCCTGAAATATTTTAATTATCTCAGGAAGAAAATTATGCTATTTAAGTAACTGAATTGAGATTAGCTAAAATGTGAAACAATAAAATAAAATAAAATAAAAATAAAATTTCAGTTTCATGAGTTTTAGGATTCGAACGTATACCCCTTCCCGCTTACGACCTAAGTGGAAACGCGGCCGCTTAGCCACCGT